CAGTGTGACCCAAAATCAGAGATAATAAAAGATTGATGGGACCAGCAGTTAGCGTAATGGTTATATCGCTGGACTCCATGTAGTCGACCATGGTTCACGTCCTGGACCCTGTGGCTTAAAACTCACGTTGGGTGCATGTGCGCATGTGCCCAAGATCCTGAGAAGAGAATGGAGAAGGGATTGTGGTGTGGCCATCCTCCCAGGGGTGATTTCTCTCTTTCCGTCTCTGTCGCTCTCTGCCTGTCTGGCGAGCACATGCGCCCTATAGCAAAAAAAAAAAAAAAAAAGATTGATATGTTTGACAACATAAAAGTATTTTTTAAGTATTATTATTATGATTTCTTAAAAGAATTATTTAATTTATTGTTATTCTTCATTTTGACCAGAGAGATTGAGAAAACAAGCTGCCAAGTTCAGGACTCGAACCATGTTCAGCCATGTGGGAGTCCAGTGCCCCAACTACCATGCCACCTGCTGGCCCCAACATAAAAAACACTTTTCATTTCAGTGAAAAGACACAAAGGAAAAAGACAACTGACAAACTGGAAGAACATACTTGAAACATGAACCATGGACAAAGAACTAATCTTCCTAATACATAGTCTGTTTTTGTTTCTGTAAAAGAATACCTGGGGACCAGCAGGTGGCATGGTAGTTAAGACACTGGACTTCCACATGGCTAACCATGGTTCAAGTCGCGGACCTGGCAGATTGCTGTCTCACTTTCCCTCTCTCTCTCGTTGTCTCTCTCTGGTGAGTGTATGTGCCAACAGCAAATTTAAAAATAATAATAAATAAAATTAATTCTTAAAAAAAATTGAGAAGCAGGGCAACTGCTAGAATAATAAATATAGTCATCTAGACCAGAAAGAAGTAAGTAAAACTACCTCAATTCACAGAAAGCATGATCTTTATATATAAGGAATTTTACACACACACAAATTAAAACTAATAAGCAAGGTCAGCAAAGTCATAGGATGCAAAATCATTATACAAATAGAACTCTTCCTGCCTGGTGATCTTCACACAAAAACTTACACATGGATATTCGTAGCAGCATTACTCACAATAACCAGAAGATGGAATCATTCTGGATGTCTATGAACCCTTGAATGTACAAACAAAAGGTGGTATATCTCTACAGTGAAACATTATTCAGCCTTAAAAAGTCATGAAGTACGAATACGTGCTTTAATATAAATGGGCCTTGAAAACAGTACACTAAATGAAAGAAGCCAGATACAAAACGCCACATACTATATGACCCCATTTACGTGAAATACGTAGAACAGACGAATTCACAGAAACGAGAAGTGAATTAGTGATCGCCTGGGAAGGGGGCACAAAGAATGGGATACAGGGCTTCTTTTTCTTTTTTGGGGAGAGGTTTTTGCTATAGGGTGTGTGCGCTCACCAGAAAGAGAGAGAGATGGAGAGACAGAAAGTGAGAAATCACCCCCCCCGGGGGGGGATGGCCACACCGCAATCCCTTCTCCTCTCAGGGTCTTGGGCACACATGTACACATGCTTGGCATGAGTTTAAGCCACCGGGTCCAGGACTCGAACCACAGTCGGCTACATGGAAGTTTAGCGACATAGCCATTAGCTAACTGCTGGTCCCAGGGCTTCTTTTTGAGAAGATGAAAATGTTCTAAAGTCAGATAGTAGAGATAGTTGCAGACCACTGTGAATATACTAAAAACTACTGAATTGTGCATTTTTAAGAGTGAGTTTCACTGTAAGTGAATTGAGAGTTCAGAAATAAACCCTAACATTTATAGTCAATTGGTTTTTTTGACAAGAGTGTCCAAGAGCTAGCACTTGTCAACATTATATGGATTATAATGTAAGATTATCATGATGTTGTTGCTGGACTACACTTCCATAAAATAAAAGGAAGGGGATAAAAGAAAATACACATGTACCTGCTCGTTTGCGGGGCGTAAAATACAATAAGCATAGAACAAAGACAAAGCGTGGGTACCTACAGGGAATGGGTGAGAATGGGGTGGAAAGAATGGGGACGGATTAGCAATGAGAAAAGAGTGACATTTCTCTGTTCTACCTTTCTGTAATGTTTTCCGTACATATACAGTCTACTTATATGTAAGTCATCCAGGGTGTGGAGGCAAGCCGAAATAGACTACAAGCGAGAACAAATAAACCAAACCGTATTCAAAGTGATTAACATAACCCCAATGGAGTGGGTGGAGGAGAACGCGCTGAAGTAATTCTGGAAAACAGTATTTTGAATGCGTGTTATCGTAAGACGGAGGACAAAAAGAACTTTATACAAATTTTGCCCTCTAGTTAGTACATTCGTTTCTCACGGGAGCAGGCATTAGCAATTGTGAAACTCCTTTATCTGTATTCTAGAATTGAACAAATGAGTAGATTTATTTTGAATAACGAGAGTCAGATTTCTCCCTGTTGGAAAAACAATTTACAAATAAAGGGAAGGGGAAGACCAGAATGACCCCTGTGGTGTTACCCTGGGGTAGAAGGTGTTGGTATAAACTCATGGTTCTGATTCATACAGTACCTACAAGTACATACATATAGAAATCAAAATACATGTGTATATATATAAATATTCTTACTAGCTCTGTGTGTGAGGGGACCTGCAAGTAAAGACACCCTAGTAGCAATGGGATCTAATATCCATATCTTGGTTTCTAAATATTATCCTCCAATGAAAGTACACAAGGCTTCTTGGAGAAGTGCTTAGTTCTAGAGTTGGGGCAGGGATACGATGAGATGAACCTGGTACATCTTGTCATGCTACGAAGTAAGAATGTGCTCAAAAAGGAACGAGCTAGTCGAAAGGAGCCAGGAACCAAACTGGAGGTCCCGATGCTGGGACAACACGAGCAACAAAATAATCTTCCATTTAACCCATATAACGAAATAAATATCTGCGAGGCCACACTGATAAGAATAAATACACAGGGAAGAAGGGACATACATCCTTATCACGTCATTCCACCTGACAGAAGCAGAAGGAATCATGGCAATAGATAATCAAGTCACCATGACCTAAGCCGTGCAGTAATAATTAGCGCAGGCAAGAACCTTGAATGGAGGCTAACATTAGAGAAGCAGAAATGGGACATTTTCAGAGTCTCAGAAGTCTCTTCCCACCGGTGAAGAATCCAGCAGACATCGCCTTAACCAAGTATTCACTCTTAGCATTTCTAATAAGACATGTAGGGACCAGCAGGTGGTGTAGTGGTTAAGGCCCTGGACTCCCACGTGGTCAACCATAGTATGACCTGCAGCTTGCTTTCTCTCTCTCTCTCTCTCCCCCAACCCCCCCTTATGTCTCACATGTGCCCTAATAGCAAATTTTAAAATAATAATAAATAAAACTAAATAAATATTCTTTAAAAAAATACATATCCTCTTACATAATATACTGAAAAGGACACAACTTTGTTTCTATCGTATTC